GGCGTCAAGGACTGACGCGAGGGGGACACCTGCTGCGTCAAAATAAGACGCAGAGGGAACCTTTGGAAAAGCGTCAATATGTGACAACTTGGGAGTGAGAATGTGTAGGACATTCATGACCATTGAAACGTGTTTATGGAAATCCGAATAGTGGGCTCAGTCTTTCATGGATTTTTTCAAAGAACCTCATTACTAGTAGTTTGCAATAATCACTGTAGTTCTGCAAAAAACGGAAATACAATAAATACAGTAAGGAAAGCCAACATTTTCTCTCATGCTTTTTTGAGTTTTCAAGATAAATTATTAAAAACAACATAATTAACTAATTTTGTAACAAATATTGAGGTAAACTCAGTTCCACATTTAAAAAAATCAATGCAGCGCCACATTTTCACCTTCTAACAGAACCATGTGGCTGCTAATAGTTTAGCTCAGGTGTTTTTATTTGTTTGGTACTTACCAYGTTACGATGCCACCCCAAATGTATTTTAGGGGTTTCTTGGACCGCATCCAATAGTTGTGTTTTTTTTTTCACGAGTTTAAGAATATTTAACTCCTGCGATAATCTGGGTTTCACTGAACATGACTGTGATGATTGTGGTGGCAYGATTTACCAAGAATGCAGAAACATGTTGGAATAATACCAGAAAAGTCTGCGTGTCTGATAATCAAATATGGTTTAATTATGAGCGACAAACAAACAGAACTGAATCAGGAAATTCTGCATGCTTGCGACTGAACTCGTCAGCAGACTACAGCCAGTAATATAATATCATTTTAACACCATGTGACAGTTTACAAGCAATCACAGATTGCCAAATACAGTATACTGTCCAGCCTATGACTGGGCTCCCAGCCCAAAGAGTCTATCAACCAAGAGAGTTCAGTCCGTTGCGGAGTCCTGACGTCCGGAAACAAACAGACAACGAGAGCAAAATGAGCTATCAGAAAGATACGAGTGATGGACAGTGTCAAGGTGAGACAGATATAAATAATTAGTCCATGACAATGATCAAGCTTTAAATAAAGATCTTGAATCAAACTTACCGACACAGCAAATAAAAATGATCTATAATAAAAACAAAGGGTACGATCTTAAAGCATCAGTAATGCTTCAAGCATAAACTTACAAAATAATTCTACAGCTTTGCCTGAGTGCAGCTCACAAAAGGAAAACAAACTCATTTCCTCCAGCGAAAGAAACCAGAGATAKACATTTATCTTCATAATTTAAAGTGAAAAGTTGAGAGAGTCTTTAAATAAATCAGTCACAGCGTTGCTCCAACCAGAGGAGAGGAATTCAAAAGTACTGAAAATGTTTTTTAGAGGAGACATCTTAATGAATACCTGCCAGACAGACGTTTCCAAAATAAGAGTTATTTGTGATATTGAAATAAATTGAGTAAACAATTGGTTTAACTTGAAGAAATACAAGCTTCAAATTGGATCCCAAAAATAAWAAGATATGAACAGAACGCCTCACATGCTGAAGGAGTCGGTGCGATACAGTTTGACAGGGAAATGAAATCATTCTTGGGGCGTCTGGCAGACAAAATGTCTCCTCGGCTTTGAGATGGAACCACTTTGGTAAATGTGAACTAAAAAGCCTTGAGGTGCCGCCGTTATTCTGGCATCCCATCGACTTAAAAGGAGGAGGGAGGAGAGGCTGTAATTAGCAGGTCCAACTGAAGGACAAAAAAGGAAGACTGATAACAGAAGAGTGTGTGGGACGTTCAACAAAAGAGACATTTAAAAAAAACTGTACAAATGTTGAATTTCTTTTTTCTTTTTCTTTTTTCCAGAACAAATAGAATTAAGTATTCCTTTCAATAGTCATGAATGCAATGTGAGAGCTGAAAGCACACCAGGGACAAGTGACAAGTGTATTAAAAATTTTATTAAGATTCAAGAAAAAGAAGGAGCCAAAAAAAGTAAATTGCATAAAGATTTTTTTGACAAATTTTCTTCTGTTTTACAAAACAGAAAATAAAAGTTTTCAAACCTGAGCACGATAAATCTGGGTGAAGACAGAAATGTAAAATAACCTAAAAGTAACTAAAGAAATAATTCAGACTTTTTAAAGAGGTTCTGTGAAATGTTAAGGATTCAATCTTTTTTATTGGATTGCCTTAGCTTGGAGAAATCAAGATTAAGTCTTAAATCAACAGCAGAGGAGTGGGACTCAAAGTTGGAAACTGAAGAGGACGGCTGTAGTTTGGCTCTGTGTTGTATTTACTTTTCTCACTTATGTGTGGAGTCACAATGTTTCATTCTGAAGGGTGGTGTTAGCTTATCACATCATAGGGGCAAGCAGAAAACAAAGCATAATTGACTATTATTAAATATATGTAGAACCACTTGTTCATCAGTGTAATTACCTCATAAATCACATTTATAGCTACTGGCTACAAATGTAAAGTGATTTTATGTACTGTGTCAAATAACCAGGACATATCGGCTAACAATGGTGGAGAGGCTAAAGATCAGTGAAAAGTCATCGATTTGTTTTAATAACTAATAACTGTTCAGTGATTCAAATAATTAAAAATAATTAGTTTTAACTAAAGGGAAAGAAACAAAAAACATTTAACTTTTATATATTGGCCTTTTCTATCCTGTAATTGGAGGTTTTGGCACTATATGCGTAGAAACTAAAATGCATAGAAATACACAAAGCAATTAAAACAAAGATTTAAAAAAGGTAATGAAATAATCTCATTCAGTATAAATATATATCTCTTGATATAAAATTATGAGTAAACTCCCAGAAATATGCCTGCTGTGTTTCATCTTCCGTTCGTTCAGTGGCTGTATTCTGTCACATCTACAGTTAACTACAACTGTAAAGCAGTTATCACCGGGGTCTAAGCCTGCATGGGCATGTTGACCTTTACCCATGTCATTCCCAGCACTCTGTCGAAGTGTGCACCACAGAGATGTAACATGATGAGTATACAGTATGTATGGTCTATTTGAGGCCCTTGTTCTTACACCACTTGCTTCTTTTACCAACAGAATCCAGAAATAAACTAAACAGCTGATACATTTTTAAATATATATATTTTAAAGGAGTGAGGTATCCTATGTGCTGTGAACTTTCTGCTGCTTAAAGGAGAATATTTCACCTCTTTTCCAGAGCTATGCAAGTCAGCAACAAATGTAAAATACAAAAACAACAAAAAAAAAAATCACTGAGGTCTAAATGTTTTTAACTTGTGTGAAAATGACAATCCACACATGTTAGGACTCTCAATTCAAGTCATTTTTGGCGGCAACATTTAGCTGCACTTGCTAAATTTGGTCTATTTCAGTTTCAAATGGATTTATTTAGTAATATTATTTAAAGTGCTTTCTTTGGTTTAACTGGTCATACAGTTTGTTGTACTAGAAATCATTCTGCAGCCTACACACTAATTCATTATTTCTTTTCAGACATAAATATCTCACCATCTAAAGACTTTTAAATTGGTGGAGATTTTGAAAAGATGGTTCAAAGTGAAGATCCTGCAGTACGCTGCGATCAGTCTTAATGTTTTTTAAACAGTGCTGCTCAGAACCAAATATTTAAACAAATTTTTTTATAAATGTCTGTGGATTTGATTTTGCAACATGGCTTTTCAAAATAAAAGTGTCAAGTTTTGGAATCAACTAATGGGAAACTAAAGGTAAACACCTGACTTTGTTGGGGTAAAAAAGAAAAATAGTATTTCCATCATTAAACCATCTTTTCTTCCTTGGAGGTCTGCACGGCCTGGAGCGGCAGCTCGTCTGAAATGTCCACCGGGTTGCTGTGGCCCTGAGGGTCTTCCTCATCATGCTGGTGCCTCGCAAAATTCACAAAAACCTGTGATATTAAGAAAGAAAAAAACATTTTAACAGCAATAGAAGACAATGAATCTCCAACTCTCTGTCTGCTTTTAAAATAAATAGAAACAGTCAAACAGCCGACAGGGTGTAAGAGTTAGTGTACAAAGCTCCTCCGCTCCCACAGTGAATGTCAKTTTGACATCTTTGACCAGCTGAGAAAGAAAATAAAACAATCATTTGGCCCTCTGTGATGCCCATTTAATATAAGACAAAAATCAATCGCATGGCCTTCATAAAAAAAGCTGTCTGCATTTCATTGTGCTGTAAACACCAGCCGAGTGCATTAGTGAGAAACCCCACAAAAAAAATAGAAAAAACAAACTTTCCCCCCCCACCTGCTGAGAACCAGCAGCAAAGAGGATCATATAAACTGATAAGAGCATTGCTTTTTCATTAGATTGATTTCACGGGCTTTGTGAAAGCAAACAGACATGATTTATGAGAGTTTAAAATGTTGCGTATAGAGGGAGGGGAAAAAATGTAGTAAAGTCATCCAGACCCATTCCATCAGAAACTACTCAGACTTTATCAATTAAACTTTTCTTATAGCTACAAATGTGCTCCAGTAAAAATGACAAATAAACACAAGCAAACAGGACCTAAATGATCTGATGAAGGCTTCAGTTCTTCATCGAGTTCAAATATTTCCCTCTTTATGTGAGAAACAAAAATCAATCTGAAACGTCTACTATCTGAAACGTTATTATTGGATGTTATTTTATTTAATAGCATAAGTAATTTGTTTTTATTGAACAAACAATAACCCTTTCAATTACACCAACATTTAGTCGCGTCCCAATATCTCTACTAATTCTTACTAATATTTATTTATTTACTTTTATGTAGACAGGCAGTCTTATTTATTACAGAGACCTGCAATTATATACCACTGCCAGTATCTCTGTATTGATATGGGTACCAATACCAGCATTTTTGCAAGTACTCTTACAAAATGCGCTGATACCAATACCAATTTTGACTGGGATACTGGTGTTGATACCCAGTTGAATGTGTTATAGTTTACGTTTCAAGTGAAAAGTTTGTTAGTTCCATGTTTAAAAAATGTTTATGTTAAAATAAAATCTTATTTGTTATTTATGTTAAAATGCTACAACAGTATATATCATGCAGTATTATTAAATTTGATCCAGTCAGTGGGACTGTAGTGCATATATTTATATTATTGTTATTTAAATTGAGTTATTGTGTAATGTTTAAGTTCTAACTTAGTAAGTACTTAGTATCTGTACTTAGTATCGGTGGGTACCCAAATTTATGTACTCATTCTCTGTTTGGGAAAAAAACTATCCACCATACCTACTGATGTTTATCACAGTGGATTTTTTTAGAGATTCAATAGTGAAAATGTGGACAGCTGACAGTTTGTTAATCTGTCAGAATTAGCTTTCCCACTGGAAAACTGTTGCACTGATGTTTTCCATGTCTTTTTCCAAAATCTCTCATAAATCACTGGTAGAATTTCAATGAATTTTGGAGAAATTAATGACTGGATCTCATTACAGCTGGAGTTAATCCAACTCAAGATGGTTGCCAGCCAACAACTTAAAAAATAACAGATTTGTTTAATTTGACATATTCTGAGCTAAAAATTTGGTGTGGAATTAGCTGAGACTGATATCCAACAGATATTCTGAGCCCCAACACATCACACAATATCTTTGTTTCAAATTTTGCGATTTGCCATATGGAGTCAACTCTGTCTATTAGTAAAATATCACATCGACCACTGGTTGGTTTTTAATAAAATATTCCCACATAGCAGACAGGTGTGGGACCGATCTGGTGTCAAGCTGCTGGCAAAGCGTCTGTCAATCAGATGTGGGCCRGGTCTGGCAATAATGGCACTGTTTATGGAATGGCCTGCCATCACTGGCCCAGCTGTGGTTTGAATTATGTGGTGCTGGCACATGCAGTCCTGGCCCACAAAATGCACTATCGCTCTGTTCAAATACAACAAAGAATGTCAGCTCTTTTGTAGCTCAGATATGGTTTGCTAGGCATAGTCCATGCATGGGCCAGCACCACATAAACCAAACCACAACTGGGGCAGGTGTGGCATGAAAGCAGTTATATMATTGTCAGACCTGGCCCACATCCTGGAAGCACTGTGAGGATCATGGTCTTTGATTTCTCCAGTGCTTTCAACACCATCCAGCCAGGACTACTGAGGGACAAGCTGGAGCTGTCCGGAGTGGACCACCACATGTCCCAGTGGATTCTGGACTACCTCACGGATCGCCCACAGTATGTGAGGACACAGGGCTGCGTCTTGGACACGCTGGTCTGCAGTACGGGGGCTCCACAGGGAACAGTGCTGGCACTGTTCCTCTACACCCTCTACACTGCAGACTTCCCCATCAACACCCTACACTGCCACCTACAGAAGTTCTCTGATGACTCTGCCATAGTCGGTCTCATCACAGGTGAGGACGACTCAGAGTACAGACAGTGGACTCAGGACTTTGTGGACTGGTGCCAGTGGAACCACCTCCTGATCAACACTGCTAAAACCATGGAGCTGGTGGTGGATTTCCACAGACCCACCTCACTGATACCGGTGAACATCCAGGGAGTGGACATTGAGATAGTGGRCTCTTATAAGTACCTGGGTGTTCACCTGAACAATAAACTGGACTGGACTCAMAACACGGACGCTCTTTACATGAAGGGTCAGAGCAGACTCTACCTGCTGAGGAGGCTGAGGTCTCTTGGAGTGCAGGGGGCGCTCCTGAAGACCTTCTTTGACTCTGTGGTGGCTTCAGACATCTTTTATGGCATCGTTTGTTGGAGCAGCAGCCTATCTACAGCTGAGAGGAAATGGTTGGATACGCTCATCAGGAAGGCCAGCTCTGTGCTGGGATGCCCCCTCGACCCAGTGCAGGTGGTGGGAGACAGAAGGACTCCCGGTAAAATAACATCTATAACAGAAAACTCCTCCCACCCAATGCATGGAACTGTGGCTGATCTACAGAGCTCCTTCAATGACAGACTGCTGCATCCTAAATGCACAAAGGAGCGTTACCACAGATCATTCCTCCCATCAGCTGTTAGACTTTATAACCATCACCTCTCCCAACAATCATGATAAGCATCCATGTTTGTGTTTGAACATCAAACAACTCTACCTCTCAATGATTACATAAATAATAACCAGTGGCAATTGTTCATAATTTTTTCATGTATTTGACTTAATGACTGCATTGGAATCAATTTGCACAGAATGAGTTTGACTAATTTTGCACACACCCTCAGATAATGAGTCTGTCATGATTTTTTTCCTGTAATTTATTGTATATTTTTCTGCACMGTTTCTTGCCTTATTCTTCATTTTATCCAATTTCCAATTTCACCTTGATAGCTCATTACAGTAATGATTATTCTTACTTTTATTTTGATCAATGTTTATTTTTTTATTGTTACTATCTTTAATTCTTTTATTATTGCCACAATTGATAGTGTCACATAGCAATATACTGTTTCTGTAGATTGATGTGTGTACGTATCTGCTGCTGCTACTACACCTGAATTTTCCCACACCTATTCTCTATTCTATCTGTCTGCTAGGTGGTATACCTCAACAAATACTTCAAACTCTGACACCTTCTGAGATCTCAGCCTTGCATAAACAAAGTTGGACCAAAATGGCCTAAACTTAGGTTAAAAGTCAAGTAGTGTTTGGGCTTTAATATAAACTTAATTCCACAAAATTTGGAAGAATTTCTAATTTTAAAAAAAGAAGAAGCTTCCTAAGTGAAGCAACACCGGACCRTCTCTGTAACTGAGAAGCAAACTTTTGCCTGCAGAACACCAAGGGCTAAACTCTGTTCGCGTGTGTGATGTCATAACATCAACAGAACGAATCAAGGTCAGTGCTGTCAGAGCGTCTTGTCAGGGGAGAGTGAGTAAGAGGATAAGAATGACAGTGGCAACAAATAAACTGTCCGCCCATCTCTCTCGGCCTCTGACCCTGCCACCGGCTGATATTGGCTTGATATGCTGAGGCATGCGTCGCATTAGATATTCACAGTCAAGGCTGTCGAGGTCCTCGGCAGAATTTCTAAGTGCTGCCTGGGCTGAACTTTCTGTAACACTCCTAGTTTCGAAAGAGCCTCCGCGCTTTGAACCGGAGGTAACGAGGTAAACTCGACCCGCGCGGCGAAGGTGGGTTTGTTTCCTCGTCTTCACTTTCTATGTTTAGCCAACCATCCATTCAAAACGGGAACGTCACGCACCACTGCTACTTTGCACTACTGAGTGGCATTTTCTTAATAACAGATGGATACAGGCGTTAATTACATTACAGAGGCTAAATTTGTGTGTTGATTTGGTGGCCACTGAGGCAGAAAGCAGGAGGGGAAGGACGTGATTTACGCAATTAACCTCTGTTTTATATCATGACACTCTGTGCCGAGCATTAACTAGGTTTTATTTTTATACAGTCCACATCCTCCACATATTTACCTTATCATTACACTAGAAAAGTTTTGATCACTTGTTTATGTCAATTACTTAGTCCATTTTTGTGTCAGAGAAGATAACAATTAGCCAAGAATCACTTTAAGACTTATTTTGTTGACTTTTTTTTCCTTATCTGGACTTTCGTAGGTGGTTGGTAATACTGCACTGGTTCATGTTGGTCTGCACCTATGCCTTCTTTCACTCTCATCTAGGGGTGGGGGTGTGGGTGTCAGGGTCTTTATTCCCATCCCGTTCCCCGACTGCCATTTGAGGAGGGGGTCCTGAAGAAGGGCGGGCCACC